TGACATTCGTTGGGCGTAGGCACGTGTGGATGTTGGTCCTTCATGTGTACAAAATACTCCTTAGACTGTCTCGTCGAGTGACCACACTCCTCACACACGTACAACTTATCTCTCCTTTCCTTGTGCTTGTAATTGAACTGAACGTTGTGCACCTTCCGCGCGTGTGACTCCAGTGAACAACGTTGTGTGAATGCCTTGTCACAATGCTCGCATTTGTATGGACGGACTCCTGCATCAATTTTAAATTTAAAAGAGTTATTTTTCAATTAATCTAAATCGATTCATTTGTAATTTTGTTTGAGAATCTTAAAAATCAGAAAAAGAAATATGTAAATGAAACCTACCAGTGTGTGTTCTTGTGTGTCTCTTCAAGTCGAAAGTGTCGTTGAAACCCTTGCCACAAAATGTGCAGAGGTAGCGTTTGATGTCCGTGTGGCACTTGACGTGGCGATTGAGAAGTCGCTGCAAAGGAAAGCTTTTCAAACAAACTCGACATAAGAACTCGTTGTATTTTGTCTGCACACCTGTACAATTGAAAATCATATGGTTAGTATTATAAGTTCGATTTATTTGTTCATTATCGCTCATGATGTACTTACTGAGATCTTGTCCTTCGTGCAACTGTTTGATCAGGTGGTTCTGCAGTAGTGGGTTCTTTATTCCTCGTCCACTATTCACATGTTCAACGTTCCTTTCAACTGGTTTTTCCTGCCAAAAGATTTGCTTGCTTGAATGAGAAAGAACTTCATTTGTTTGCATGGGTGTATACAAAAATGTAGCGTTGAAACTTTGGAACCCAGAATCCATTCTTGATTTACTGAGATGAGGAGTGCTGAACATCGGCGGATAAATTGGGGAGGGCATGACAAAGGACGATTCATCAAGTTTCCTTCGTTTGCTGAACTTGTTTTCAACATCAACTCGGATGAGTGGAGTGCTTCTGCAATAGGGAGACAAAAATGTTTTTTTCCCTTCACGGTTTCTTTTCAAATTTGACGCACGAACGAACGATAGATCGTAGGTAGATTGCTGGGGTACACAGTGTCTCCGTTCGTCTTTGAGTGAACTCACATTTTGAATTGGTGCCAAGATATGCTGTATGCTGTATTGGCTGCAGCTGTTAGCATCTGTTTGTTCTTTATGATCGCAATTTCGAATATTTGCTTGTGATAAACCAGTTAACAACGAGCTACTTGAGGAACAATTGAATGGTGCAAAAGGTGAACAACATGATCCTGAGGCTGGTGAATAAGTGAATAGAGGGGCGAAGTTATTAGATGATGAGAACGTTGATGTTGATAATGGTGTTGATGATGATGATGATAATGATGTTGATGACGATTTTCCGTCGTCCGATTTAGCGAGCAGTTCTACTGAACTGAATATAGATGGTTTCTTCAAATTATTACTCATCATATTTTCTGTTTGTTCTCTATTATCTATATAAGTATCCTTTGATTTATTTGGTCCTGAATATTTTAGTTTATTAAATTAATTTCAACTGTACTCAAAGTTTAGCAAAAGTACGTTCGTTTAATTAGTTATAAAGATAAACGGTTAAAATAATCTGGAAAAGTTTTTCAACTTTGATTGCTCATGTTTCCTTAGTCCGTCATTATATAGTAACCGCTCTAATTGGCTCCTCCTACATTATCGATAACCAATAAGACGCTGGTCAATCTAACAACATGTGTTTCCAACCGTTTTTTTTGACCTGTTAAACATTGTTAGAACTTAGAACAAGGACCGAGAGTTGTAATGCATTGGTTACTTAATTGAATAATTGACTGGTTTATTGTTTATTGGTATTTACTTGGTCACTATTTACCAGCATATTTTATTTCAGTATTTTTAACAATGACCATAAAGAATTTACACCATAAAAATTGTTTGGGCAATAAAATTGTCGCAAATGCATTACGAAAATGTTTGAAGCGGCGTGCCACAAAATCGTTACTATGTAAAGATGTCATAATCAATGAATGTTATAGCGTTCTGATTAGCGGCTGTCCTGAGGAAAATTTATTTTCACTCCTAATTTGTTCATTTAAAAAATTGTTGATATAGTTTGAAATTTTAAGTTTAAATTTTTTTTATCAAATGAATTAAAAACATCGCACAATATTAAATGAATTATAAAAAATGATAAAATAAAATTAACGACATTGACAAATAAACTTGCGTTTAATGTATGTTTTCAAACAGTCACCGCATGTCCCACCACTTACTTTCATTAATTACTTTACAACATCCAGTATGTCGCTTTACCATTTTAGATGTAAAATGTAAAAACAAAGTAAAACGCGCTGTGGGTTGAATTTTATATTTCAATTAATGGAATATTTTTATTGGTAAGTGAATTAAAATTAAAATTCACACAATAAGAACAATGAGAAGATACGACGGACTGTAAATCAGCATGACTGTTGGAGCACACGCTGCTAACTGGACAACAATATGACAAATGAAAGAATATTACAGACTATTCACATGCATGCACTCAGTCGTCGTATCGCTTATTACTGCAGAACGCGTGTGGTTTAAAACACTATATTGTTCATTTTCAGTATTATTAAAAACGTGGCTAAGAGTTGGTGGTTCAACGCTATAAAGCCTCATCACCAACATCATACCGACATTTCAACTACTGAATGTCAAACCTTTACGCGACAGATTTTGAGTGAAAAAAAATTTTTTAACCATTTTACTTTCCAAAAACATCTTTTGATAAATTGGGTCAATTATAGCCGCCAGTGCTTAACGACCAAGAAATGAAACATCAATGAATGATGAACTAGAGAACAATATTTAAAATCGATATCCATATTACAAATTTTAAATAACAGTTTTTTAAACAAAATTTTAAAAACGATCGGTTTGATAAAAACGAGAAAATATAAACAAGATATTCAAAAGAACAAATAAAACAAAACAGAAAATATCAAACCATTAAAATTTTTTTCTAAGCGGAAATTTTAAAATACCAATATCCACATGTGGATACGTCTGTTTTTCAAACAAGTTTGTTTATTTTGTTAAAAAGTATGGAAAATAAAAACAGTTCAAATTATCAACTGATCTTTCACTAAATCTATTAGGTGTTTAATTAAATAAGCAAAAGATTTTAATGTACTTTACAATATTCTACAAACAAATTTGATCCCACATACACTTGATTCCAAATATTAAAACTATTCAATTATTTGACTTATAACGCAAATTAGGAATGTAACGGATCTATGTGTCGAGGAATTAAGTGTAGACTAACCGTTGAAAAAAAATTGAAAACTTGTAAATAATGGTAAAAATATTTTGAAAACGTTGCTATGCAAAATATTTTGCTAAACTACGAAAGATGAATTTTGCGTTTAGATGCAAATTTTTAAATCACAAAGATACATTGAAAAAAATTTAAAAAAAGTGTAAACAGTTATTTGAAAAAAAATTTTATTTAACAAACGCGGACACACGTCGATTTGAAGAGAGCTGCCAACCCGCTCTTGTTACGTGAGCACTGTCAATCGTGCATTGTAATTTCTCAACCTTAGAACACGTTAATATGAATAGCAGTGCTGAATGATGGCTGCTGAGATTTTATCGCATTGAAGTGTTTGCAGGGAATGTGAGCTTGTGCTCGCTGGTATCTGCGGTCGTGTTCTTTTCTTCGAATTCATTTGTTTGGTCCTTCAGTTCTAAATCTTTCATCGATTTTGTCATTGAATGAATGAATGAATGAATGAATGAATGAATGAATGAATGAATGAATGAATGAATGAATGAATCTGCTAATGTTTGTAAAGTAGGTTCATCCTGTTATATTTTGTGCAATAAGATTATCTTGGTAGGTGACAGCGTACAAATCTTTTGTCAACTTGCTGTTTATTTTTCGTTTGTGTATGCATATTTGTGAGCTGCGTGATTATGTGAGTGTGTGTGTGTGTGTGTGTGTGTGTGTGTGTGGCGTGGTGACTGGTGACAGAATGGTTTTGTAAGGTTTACAAAATAGACTCGCTCTGTACAGTGGGATTAGCTGCACGGGTGACGACGTACAAACCTTCTTTCTTATGTCAACCATTAAATTGTTTTGTGTGTATTGTGTCATTTTGGTCTGCATGAATGAACATATATAATTACATCAAATTTTTTTCAATACAACATACAATATAGAAAATTTACGTTAATGGCTTTTCGCATAAAACTTTAGATCTGTAATAGATGGTAGACAAGCTGGTGCAAAGCTCTTCTGACTCTTTTGATTCAACGAGGTGTATGTGGGCTGAAGTATGTCGGCATGTTGGCATGTTTTTTTTTATATTTTCCTTCTTCTAAATTTTCACCACCCACTTTGCATTTTCATATTTTTTTATTCAAATAAATTTCAATCAATTATTCTATTTACGTAAATTAATAAGTAGATGCTTAGGTAATAATTACAAAATTGAAATACTCAAAAAATTAATAAAATATCTTTGAAAATATATATGAACATGCATGAAGGCGAGTTGGTGTAATGGTTGAAGACATGTTCCAGCAATCTGATACGAATACAAGCTGTTCTCCACTTATGAATTGTTCCCAACATTCAGATGCATGTGTCCATTCCCGCCTACTCAAACATTATTTTTGAGGATTAATGAAGAAAAAATTATAAAATAAATCAATTAACTAATTAATCATTAAAAAATATGCATGGGGATAAAATGTTTGAGTACCGCAGTTATGTTTTTGTAATAATCACTAAGGATATTGTTACAATTGCTACTTTTTCTTTTAAATTCTCTCTCATTCGTTTTAAAAAAATACACGGAGGAGTGTATTTTTATAAAAAATACAAGTAATTCACCATACATTCATCACACATTCTGCGTGGGTGGTGTTGGGTTAGGGTTATGTGATGGGTCTTGGCACTCAAATCCAGTCCCCTCAATAATGGTACCAAACCCGAAAATGAATGTTATACATGAAACTATTTTTGTACATTGAACAAAAAATAAAGACCCACCGAAAATGTACGGCTACTCTACCTAATTTCATGTTAGCCCGATGGGATGTAGAGGCAGATTCTTTGGTGAAGATGAACTTTTAAACAGGAAAGATATCTGGTGAAAGAAATCGCCTGTTGATATTAGCGGTAATTGACGTACGACAATTTTTAAAACGTAGGCATTACTTTCGTCATCACTAATGAGATAATGAATGGAAGAATGAATGGATGGATGGATTTTGAGGGTGTGTCGTCGAAACAACATTAAATTGCACACCAAATAAAACGTTCGTTCGTTAAAAAAAATTAAGAAAAAAAACCTCAAAAAATCGCCATAAAAACGGCCTTTAAACGACTTTTGTTCTCAGGCGTTTACGGTAGAAAGGGCCTTTTTTAGGGAGGAGACACCTATTGTCACCGATTTTTTGCTATTTTTCAAAAATTTTCATGTAAAACCCCTTTAGGTGGCAGGGTGGGTGGGTGGGTAAGTGGGTGGGTAGGTGAATGGTTGGTTCGTTCGATGGATGAATGGATGAACGGATAGATGGATGAATGAATGAATGAATATATGGATAGATGGAAATATGAATGGATGGATGTATCGATGAATGAATGAATAAATGTTAACCAGTTAACAAATTTGTTTGAATGAGTTTTCATTTT